GGACCTTCCGGTGACTGACTGTGGACTCACCGCTATCCTACCGACGTTGTACTGCTGTTGCACTGCGGTTTAGTCCACCACTTGACCACTTGCCCACTTGCCTACCTTCTAGAAGGTCTACAGCTAAGCTTCCGGAACTCACTAAGACTCCTACGCTATAGACCTGCAGATGTGACCCCTGCTGCCTATGGACCTACGACAGGCCTACCAACTGCCTACGAATACACACGTCACAGGTTCGATTCTCGGGGTCTACACAGATACTGTACATGGGTAGGGTGAGGTCTAGGGATCGAACCCTGGGTACTGCATCCGCTACTGCTAAAAGGTGAAAACCGTTTCACTGATCGAAAAGAACCTACCGTTTGACTTGATTATGGGAATGGATTGGCACAAGGAAGCCAACCCAGACATTAAGTTCAAAGAGAAGATTGTGCAATTGCGAGACGCACAATCTGAATTGAAACCTATCAAACAGTTTCATAACTCTGGGTCTGACTCTAGTCTCTCTTTTTGTTGTATGAGTTACCCAGTGTTTCGTTCGATGGTTTCAAAAAAAAAGTTGGAACAGGAAGTAATGATGGTCTTTGTAAAGAAAGTCGGAGAATGTTTTACTTCCTGCCCTCCTTCGACTGAAAAACTCCTTAGTGAGTATAAAGACTTATTTTCTGAACCGACAGGAATAACTGAACGTGCTATCAAACACACAATTGAAATTATTCCTGGCAGTAAGATTCCCAAGGGCCCTATCTACCAAATGTCTGCTAGGGAATTTGAGGAGTTGAGGAAACAACTGCAGGACTTAACTGAAAAAGGATGGATTCGCCCAAGCTCCTCTCCTTATGGTGCCCCTGTCTTATTTGTGCCCAAAAAGGAAGGTGAGTTACGTCTCTGTATTGACTATAGAGGGTTGAATGCCGTCACTGTTAAGAATGTCGAACCTCTACCACGTATTGACGACTTGTTGGACCAGTTGCAGGGCTGCAAGTTCTTCAGTAAGATTGATCTGAAGTCTGGATACCACCAGATCGAGGTGGAACCCACGGATCAATATAAGACTGCGTTCCGAACCAGGTATGGCCATTACGAGTTTATGGTGATGCCCTTCGGACTGACTAATGCCCCCGCGACCTTTCAAAGGTCTATGAATGAACTCTTTCGTCAGTGGCTAAATAAGTTCGTCGTCGTCTATCTTGATGATATTCTAGTCTATAGCAAGACACTAGAAGATCACGAGAAGCACCTTTGTGTGGTGCTACGGAAGTTGCGTGAGGGCAACTTCAAGATCAATCCCAAGAAATCTGAGTTTGCTAAGTCCGAAGTGTTATACTTAGGACACATAGTGAACGAAGAAGGTCTAAGGCCA